TAGCCCACAAAAGTATTTGCTTTGGCCCATACCTTTTTGCCCCAAACAGTGTTTTAGAGAATTTTGATTTATTTGCCAACATTTAAAAACCAGTAGATTGCACATAAAAATAAAGGTTTCTGGCTTCTCTTAAAATTTTTGAAGATTTGGCATCCCACATCCTCACTCCCTTGGGGCAACAGTTGGCGAGTGTCAAACTGCCCCCCTTTTGATGGAACCTGCAATCTCAGGTCTGCTAGTGTCCACCACTGAGCTGGCATTGGTGTCTTCTTAACTTCATCCTTCTCTGGATACTTTTATCTGGACATTGTTATCAGCCTGGCCCTAAAGCCATTTTTTAAGGTTCCTGGATAATGTTTAGCAAAAATGTATGTGTGTGTGTGTGTATCTCTTTAGTAAAGAGTAATTTTCATTCCCACTAAGATCTTAATGGAGTATACTTTTCTGAAAGTGGCTTTTCATGTGTAGAAGAAAAAGATTTGGGCGACTCCAGATTCTGAGGGGCAAATAAAATCATAGCCATTTTGGGAAGATTTCCCTAGCATTTATCTCATGTAATCCTCATAAGAACTCCTAAAGGTAAGAGCTCTTATTTAACTAGGGCTGCCAGATATAGCAAATAAACATACAGGATACCTAATTATAAATAATTTTCGTTTATCTGAAATTCACATATAACTGGCTCCCTGTATTTTATTTGGCCATCGTGAAATTGAAAAAAGAGTAGCTCCATTGGTCACTTTATAACCACGTAGCTGTGTAAAAAAGTAGAGCTCTGTTCTTGGGCCCAGTTTATAATTGAGGAAGTGCCCCACAATAGCGAGAAGAAAGGCCCGAAGATCCTCGAAACAGAGCCCTGTGATCCAGTCGGGAGAGCCAACTGTGAAAGCGAGACTATAATACTGTAGCAACTTCCAGAACTTTCTAGATGTTCATTTTAATTATTCAGGCCAGACCATTCTCTGGGGATTTAAATAACCCTCACCTATACTGACTAGGCTGATGGGGATACTTTCTCCAGAGAGAACTGCTTAGTAACCCCTGTCCTCTGAACGTGGCCCCTTCCAGCTAAAGGCCAAGATCCTGGATATAGGAAACCTTGATTAAGGGCCAGATAATTAGGGAGGTAGAGGAAAAAAACCCTCTACAACAAGGTCCATAGATTTCACAATCTCCCCAAGGATCAGGCTTGCTTGAGACAATTTCCATATTTTGAAACAACAGAGTAAATCAAATATCTGCTGCATAATTCCATATTGATTTACTGAGTTTTGAGCAAAGAAAGCAGTCTCTACCAAAGGTGAATATTCTCACACTCTTACTTAAATTTGCCTGCAGCTATATATAATCTTCAGTTAGACACTGTCTTGGTTTGCATCCTACCAAAAGCCAACAATGGGACAAAGATATAAGTTCAAGTCTTTTTGGGGGAATGACGACAAGGTAAACTGAAGGAGTAGGAAAAGAGAGGGATGGGAGGGCAGTCAATGAAGGGCGTATTAATGGGCAGGTAACTTCTGAGGGCAATTGGGGCTTAATTCCATTTGGGAACACTGGGTGACAGTACAAGGAAATGCTTCAGTTACCTTCATCAAAGAGAGCTCAGGTATTTATTCACTAGCTCTTATATATCATTGGCTGAGCAGTCCTCCCACTAACACACTCCCAACCCACCCTACCTGACATTTGTCATTCTGTTGCCAGAGAAAATGTCCGGCAAAAAGATGCCAGTACTGGTATAAATGGTAAGTGACGAGGGAATACACCCCAGGCACCAACAGCATCTGCTCCAGATACACACCCTTTCCTTCCACATCACCGATCCATCCCACAACCAAAACATACCAATTGAGGGATACTCTTCGTTATGAGCTAATTACCATTGGATTTCAACATTAATCTAAATATTAAATAGACCATCAACTCCATAGGTGGGTACATGGAATACAGAAAACGGTAAGAATGTTGAAATCCTTGAAGGATGTTGCTACCACAAATCTGAATCATAAACTGTGATGTCACTGCCCTTACAGGTACCAGATCCTGGATCTAAGATTCTTGAGGGTATTGCCAATTCCCTCAGAGTCAGCACACCTTTGTTTTCCTTGATCCACCTTATCCCAATGTCTACCAAGTATCTCACTCTTCTGGGGGACCTGTTTTGTATGCATATAAATTAATTACTTTTAGGAGATTACAACTGACAGATTAATGGGTTTCCCCTCATGATATTTTATAGGATTTTATGGAAATTAAAGGCTGCACAAGATGCATAGGAGCCCAGACTCTGGAGCCAGACTGCATGGGTCTTAATCCCATCTTTATTATTTATGAATTGTGTGACCCTAGGTAAGTTATTCATCTGCTGTGGGCCTCAGTTTCTCATGTGTAAAATGGACTTAATAATAGTACTATGTCTTGAGGCTGCTCTGAGGATTAAATGCTTTAATACTTGTACTTAGAATAGTGCCTGGAACATGGTAATTGCTTTATAAGTGTTTGATAAATAAATGTAAAGGAATACTACAATACAATAAGTATTTAGTAATGCCTCATGGTAAGTGCACAGAGAAATTCATGTTGTATAAAGCAGTCCTACCTAGTTTCTAAGTAAGCTTTCTTATTTTTCTTTCTACCCCACCTCCACCACAAATAAGGAGCACTGATCTTGGCATCGTCAGAAGTGAGGCGGAGAGTAAGTCCTGTTGTTTGCTAGCTCTGAAAACCTGCTTTCTCTGGAACTCCAGCTTTTTGTCCACAAAATGGGGACAGTGACACCTGTCAAAAATCAGACAAACTAAAAAGTTCTATATATGTGTGTGTATGATTTTTCAGGCTCAGGGTGTTTTACCAAGTGAGCTCTGCTTACTGCCTTCTTTTACTTCCTCTCCATCATTTCCATTCTCTTCATATTCTTTTTTTCCATTTTTCTCTCTTTTAAATTTAGTTTTTATTGTTTCCTTCTCATGAAATAATCAAAGGAAATTTTATAAGTATGGACCAAAAATAAGAGTATAAAGTCAGGAGTAATCCCATCATTTATAAATAAATACTTGTAAAATATAGTCTGCATTCTTAGTCTTTAGTCTAAAATAAAATAAATGTATTTTATGTTAGGACCTTACTATTGTTTATAACTGCTTTTTAAAAATTATTATATTGTCACATCTCTCTATACTACTATATTCTTTCTATGATCTGATTTTTAAAAAATTATCTTATTTTTAATACACTCTCCTTTTTGCAATATTAAAATTACAGAGGCATGTATCTTCTTGCAGAAATGTTTTTCCTCAAAATAATATTTTCTTCGAATTCCTAAAATTTTTTTAGGAATTTACAGCATCACAGAGAATTCACATTTTTAAAGCTTTGATACACAGTGCCAAATTATTTTCTAGAAAGATTATTCCATTTTACACTTTTTCCATTAGTTTTGAAAATGTACATTTCCTTCTTTCCTGATTATACTGTATAATTTTAAAATATTAATTTGATATTCAGAAAATGAAATATATGGCTATAATTGACTTTTATTTGATTGTTAGTGAAATTGAATACTTTTCATGTTTATTGGCCATTTTAATGTCTATTTATAAATTTCTTATTTGTCTTTTTCCGCTTACATTTTTTCATTTATTTTGTGTTATGTATTCTTACTCAAATATAAGAGCTATTTACACAGAAAGGGCAGTAACCCTTTGCAGTGTCATATTTTTTCAATTTTCTTTTGTTTGCCATTTGTTTTCATTTTTTTATAGAAATTTGAGAGTGGGCAAGTTTTAGTTTTTGTATGTGGATTTGTTTGCTTTTGTTTTAATGGTTGTTGCCTATGGCATGCTTGGGAACGCCTCTACTATCTTAACTATAAATAGACAGATATCCATTTAGTAGTTCTCTTCCCCTCCCCCGCTTTTTTTTTCTATTCTCCCAGCCCATATTTCAGAATTACCATAAAGAAATGGCTGGGGCCCAAGACCACTTATCTGCATGTGGTGCTAGAATTAAAGAGGCTCCAGGCACTGACCTAAGTCTGTTCAGAGCAACCTTGTGTCATGCTGATATTCCTCCTGGCAGAATGCTGTGGAAGACGTTTCAGGGAGGGAAGTGAATCTACAAGGTCCTCATTTCTTAGAACTAAAATGCTTAAAAATAGTATTTAATGTGTGCTCTTTGGCCCTGAATTTCCTGCCCTGCTTAGCATCAAGAAGTCAGATAGAATTCATTATCAACTTTTATATGAGTTTCTGAAGCAGAATGTAGGGAGACTGATCATCATGCATACCCTCTCAAATGTTCATAGTTGCTAGGAAACTGGAAAGTTAATAAATTAGCCCTAATAAGGAATTTCTTTACATCATATTTGAATTTCTCATCACTCCCCATTTGGAAATGCTCAACTGGGAATATAATCCATTTGTAAAAAAGAATAATGGCAGAAATGTCCAAAATCATGGCAGAAAACACAACCAACCAGGTCACTGCATTTGCTCTTTCATTGTGAGAATAACGTAGGTTTGGGGGAGGCAGGAAGGACTTTGAAATAAGGTAGCCACAAGAGTGAATCCTACCTCTGCCACTACCTAGCTGTATAACTTTGGGTGAGTCAATTTTTCAGACCCCTATTTTCTGAGATGTTAATACTAACACTCATAAAATAATTAAAATTTATTGAGGCACTACTCTGTGCCAGGTGCTGTTTTAAGCACTTAATATGTGTGAACTCATTTAATCCTCACAGCAACCCAAGGAGAGAGGTACTATTTTTATCCCCATTTTACACCTGATAAAACCAAGACACAAAACGTATCTTTTCCAGAGTCATACAGCTAGAAAGTAGAGAAGGAGGATGTGCAAGATCAGGCATTTTGATGGCAGAGTCAATGAACTTAATTTTCGTGAGTGTGAGAACAGCCAGGGAAGTGTTTGCTTGATGCACACAGATAAGTGAGTCACTAAATAGTATCCACTTCTGTCCTGGGTGAAGACTTTCTACCTACCTCGCACAGTTGCAAGCTCTCCATCCACATGAGCCATGCACTGCATGGCAGTAGCCCCAACACATATTGGCATGCTGACTCTCTGCCCTAAAACAGAAGTCGACAGGTCTATCTCAGCAACATTCCTGAGCATCCGTGGATACAGCTTCCATCTAGAATTAAAAAAAAAAAAAAAAAAAAAGTTTTGAAATTTCAAAAGCTTAGCTAGAGCTTTGGCATTCCCATTTTAATTAAAAAGAGAATATATTCTTGTATTTTTCCCATGAAGCAACTTACTTTACAAAGATAAAGGAAAAGCGGTCATTTTAACATTTGTTAAGATGTAAAGTTAGCAATACGATAATAATGAATTTCTCAAGCCATTGTTCTTAATAAGGTATAATTAACATACAGTAGATTTGCCCATTTGAGTGTAAAGTTTATGAGCTTTGACAAATGTACAGTCCCATAACCGCCAAAACAATCAAGATCTAATACAGTTCACCATACTGAAAAAAATTCCCCATTTCCCATTGTAGTGAAACTCGACCTTCACCAATCCCCTAACAACTACTGATCTTTTTTTTTTTTTTTTGGTCCCTATAGATTTACTTTACAACAATATCACATAAATGGAATCATATAGCACGTAGCCTTTTGAGCCTGGCTTCTTTCACTTGGCAGAGTGAGTGTGAGATTCATCCACGTTGTGGCAGGCATCAGTAGATTGTTCCTTTTGGTTGATGAATAATATTCCACTGTAAGAAGGTAGCACAGTTTGTTTAACCATTCTCCAGATCAGAGACATCTGAGATGTTTCCAATTTGGTGCAATTATAAATACAGCCACTACAAACATTTGCTTAAAGTTTTTTGTGGGAACACAGTATTCATTTCACTTTCTCCAAGCCACTTGGAGGGTATACAAAGGCATGAAAGTTAGATTTTAATTTAAGAAGATACACTATGGCTACTTTGCCCCTCTCTCTCTCTCTCTGTGTGTGTGTGTGTGTGTGTGTGTGTGTGTGTGTGTGTGTGTGTGTGTGTGTGTGTGTGTGTGTGTGTGTGTGTGTATGTGTACGTATATAAAGTCAGACTAGCTCCAGGCAATTACTTTTAAAATTATAATGTTTTTTTCTTTTTCAAAATCCTTAAACTGAATTCTGTCCATTAAAGTATGACGATGAAGGAAGATCATTTTCCTTTTTCAGTTTGAGTATTTTCTTCAAAAATGTTATTTGGCAGAGACTGGAGTTTTTGACTTAAAGAATTTTTGACTATTGGTCTTAAATGCCTTTCTCTGTGATTCTTTTGTATCACAAAGAAAACTACCAAAACCAAGAACCAAAACTTCACTAGTAAAACTTAACAGGAGAACAAGTTCTCTTCCCTCTCAGCAAAATTTATATCTCCTATTTATTTGGGATTATTTTTCTCCTCATTACTAACTGATTTAAAGGAAAGGAAGTACAGCCCTATATTTCTAATGAGCGCTAGGAGCACTAAGACAAGTATACATACCTAACCAGTATTTACCTTTCATTACCTAGGTTTAACTCTGCTTCCAGAGAGATCAAGATTTTTAGTTAACATAGTGAAGTGTGATTTAGTAATGAAATAACCAAAATAAATCAAACTTCCAAAGTCTTAATTGAAGCCTACTTCCTGTAGCGGAAGAAGAAATTCTGTCTTCATGTTGCTTTGAGGAACAGCTAAGGGTCTGTAATCTAACCCTTCCTCACATAATGAAGCAAAAACATCCAGCCCCCTGAAAAGCATAATAAAGAAGTTTTACTGGGTGATTTCTCTGTAATTCCTTTGAACATCATAATTGTCATTATTTTCTGTCATACCACAAGCTCTGCTGCTGGAAGTCTTTTTTTCTCCACTGACCCTCGCAGCATGACTCTTTGATCTCTGTTTTGAAGGGGGAGAGGCAGAAGCCTTGAAGAGAGTTTTTATTACCAATCATCTCTAAGTGTATTATTAGAATGAAAGAAAAAGATTTTAATAGCAGCCACTGGCATGCAGGCCTTGGGAGGCATTAATATTGACTTAGAGCTGAGGAAACAATGGAAGTTTTTATAAAGAGCACACACAGAGCTTCGAGGCATCAGCTGTGTGTGTGTATGTGTGTGTGTCTGTCTATGAGGCAGAAGGGGCAATTTTAAATGTCCAATTCCTGCTTCTAAGGCAAGGTTCAACACTTAGTATCTCCAGGCAGTAGCTTTACACTTGTCCACATGGTGGCACCATCACGTTAATAACTGTTTGCTTTTGCTTTGCCACACACCTTGTTTTCTGCTCTGAGGATGACATTGCAGAGACTTGTCAACTAATGTGCAAAATGCAATTCCTAGGCAAAATTAGATAAAATCAATGGAATGGGGAAATATATGTTATCTAAAAAGTCCAAAGAGCAATTACAACTAACCTTGTCAGATAGTTCCAATAGTTTCCTAAGCCCCTCTGGGCTCCATCCCCAATTTAAGTGATTTTTTGCCCAAATCTTATATAAAATAGAAGCTGACGACAACCATTGACTGTGCTCTTCTGAGACCTCCGCTTTGGAAAAATAATATGAAGACTGACATAACAGCTGAACGAACTGTTCGACTGTTTTTTTCTAAAGGATGGAAAATAAGATGCCTGAGTAAAGGAAGTAGGGGAAAGGTAGTAAAGCCAGAGACCCTTCAACAGAGCTTCTGACCCACACTTCAGAGCAAACAAGGGCCTCAGCTTAATTAATTAAAAAAGCAGGCGATATACACTCTCTCCCTAAGAGGGGCTACTCAGTTGAAGGAAGACACACGTCATCCAGCTTTTTTAGCCACATGCTGAATCCCACCGACTGAACACAACAAATTAATATTTTGTAAGTTCTATAAGATGATTATATTGTGTGCCAATTTCTCCACATTATTTTTTACTCTAAGCATTAGAACATAAAATATATGTGTATATAAAATATACCAGGACTTTTGTAATCTTATATTTTACCATTCATTTTTTAATGGTTTCAGAAGACCCATGAATCTCTTGAAATGGTGAGTGTGTGCGCATGTGTGTGTGTATGTGTGTGTGTATAAAGAAGCCACAGCTTTGAGGTGGGGAGGGGGAAGAAGGTGACAAAGAAAGGGGAAGAGGATGAGGGAGACAAGGAGAAGGAGGAAGAAAAAAATAGAGCTGGGATATGAAATCTCTTCCCATATGATTCTTAAAAAACAAGAGACAATTAGCTGCTTTTCATAAAGCGAGAGCAAAAAGCAGCTTACTTACCCATTTTGCAAACTAGCTGAATGATTCTGTGACATTTACACCTTATGAGAAGAATGCTGAAAATGCCACTGGTGAGTTTATATTGTTTCTCAAATATTAGAGAGAATGACATCACTTTTACCATCTGATATTTGTCAATAAATGATGCAACAAGAATGAGAATAGCTTCCTTTTCTAATATCATGAAACTTCTAAATGCCCAAATTGTAGAATTATTTTCCACCAATAATAAAATACGTGCAGACCATGGTTAAGAAGGATATACTGAGTTAATGTGTAAGAAAATCAAATTACTGTTCTTTTTAAAATTGAGTCCAATCAGGTCAGACCATGTAAAATATAACAAGCTGACAATTGCTGTCCCTGTCATGTTTGCAATAGAAAACTATGTTCTCCTGGGTGTTTCCAACTATTTGACTTTATTTGCAATAGAAAACTATGTTCTTCTGGGTGTTTCCAACTATTTGACTTTTGCTGGAGTAAGGGGTGGCACAATAATATTAGAATCCCAAGTCTTACCCAAAAATGTCTCCAGGCAACTACTGGGTTACGTAAGTGGCCCATGTCCCCAGAACTCCAAAATGTGGTTGTCAGAGTTGCGTGCAAAGAGATAAAAACCGTCACTGTGAATGACCTTCAGTTGTACTTGTAGAAGGGAGAGGTGCATAAATTTCATAAATGTGTTTAAAATGCCCTGTCATTGTGTCACAACAGGTTATCTGAGGTCTGTTTCTCTGCAGTCTTCGTCTGAATCAGAATAAGAGATTTCACACTGATTCCCTTCATCATATCAACGCAAAGCCACCACAACCCTGGCAGAAAATCTATTCTTAGTTCCACATGATCAGCTCAATGACACAGGGTGAGGGACAAAGGGTCATCCAGCAACTTACACAACAAAAGAGGAACTGAGATGTTAGATAGGTAAGTATCCCTAATGTTGCAATAAAAACTTCTCAAGTGGTTAATAGCATGAACCATTCTCCAGAGAAAGTGAAAATATATATATTCCCTCCTCCTCCCCCACTTTAAAGCTGAACAAATGAGAATGATCGAAGTTTGTGAATAGGTGGCAGTATAAACCTATCCACGGTATCTGTGTCCTGTCCCTTAATCACTCAGTACAGACACAGGCTGAGAAGACTCACTGGAGCACTATGTAATTCACACGAGATGTTCCAGGTTATAGCTTGGAAGTCACCACAGCCTTCTACATTCCACAGTTTCTCAAATTCCCAGGGTTACAGAGGTCATCCATCTGCTTTGCTGCACCCCTCTGCTCTCTTCTCGGAAGCTTCCACTGGACCAACTGTTTTGGGTCCGTTTTGCATCAGCGCAACCCACCAGCCTTATGGAGGCCGGTTCCATGTGTATCCGTTGGAATGTCAGCTCCTGTGGAAAGGAACTTTGTCTGGCTCACCTCAGCATGCAGTATAGTCTAGCTCACAGAGATTCTTAATAAGTGTGGGTAAATTAATTAACTAGCATGAGTTAAGGGGGGTTAAGGGGTGAGGAAGGCTGTACATAAATGGAACAGGTGGTCACATGAGCATTGTGATCTAAGGAATGCTAAGAGACACCAATCTCATAAGCCTGTCAGGCCTGAAATTTCTTTGGTTAAAGACACCTATTGGGGCTAAGGTGTCTTCTTCAGTAGATTACTAATAGGCAAACCACATTACCTGGTGAACAGAGTAGACGTGGGCCCAAGAAGGGGCCTTTCGAGAGCAGAAAACTTTGAAGGGGCCCAAAACATTGATGATTGGAAAGATGCAGAATTTTAAGCTTCTCCACTGTTAGTCAACTTTTCCCTCCCCATGGCTCTTCCAGCATTTTTTCAGCTCATTTGGTTTCTAGAGAAGATCTGAGACAAAGTCAAGTCCAAAGGGGTCTGGAGGAGGCTCCAACCTTCACCCCATTGTCAGGCTCCTACACTGATTTGCGGGTGAAATCATGCTTCTTGCCAGGGAATGAATTGGTTAGAAAGGTTTTATTTCCTCTTAATTTACATATGGAAATGTGATTTCGAGTAATTTTGCTTTAGACTAAAGAAGAAATCAGGAAAGAATGCAGATTCTTTACCCTGGATATTTTCTGCCTTTTTTTCTTTAATTTATCACCATCAATGAGCACACACAAAATTCACTGGCTTTACTAATGGCTATAATGTAAAATGGATGAGCCTGAACGACTACAGCAAATAAACTGTTTTCGTACTGCTGAGACATAAAATACTTCTTTAGAGTTATTTTGTCTCTTGTTTTTATTATAAGCAGAAAACGTAAATCATGACACCCACCATCCTGTACTTTGAAATACAAAAGTCAAGGGAAAACTAACCTGGGAAGAGAGATAAAGCTCTTTGGAATAGAGATGAAACATCAAAGTTGAAAGATTAATGCTATATAGAAAAAATGAAATCTAAAGTGAACATTTAGACAACAGTAATCAAAATGAATAATACGGGAAAAAGCTAGCAGGATGGGAATATTTGAGGCAATAATCTGTTCTGGTTCGACCAGGGAAGACGGCTAACTTGCATTTAACGCTGTTTCCCACACCATAAACATAACCCCCACTGACATACTCAGAGAAAAATATGGGGTCATCAGATCTTATCACTATTTTAAATATAGTTAAATTAATTAGCCACATAATACCAAGTGAGGAAACAGCGCTGGCTTTTTCAGTCACTTGTTCGATAGTCCCAGGCTTAGAATAATTTAAAACAATTGAAAAACTCGAGATTTCTCACAGCCTCAAGAATTTTCCCCTCTTTACGAAGCATGTATCTACATGAAAAATTCCACATTGAAACTAGAAGATCCTATTTTGATAGAACGTTTTGGGGTAATTTTAAAACATGATTTTAAAATAAAGAAGTTTTCTTACCTGGAAAATGCTGCAATATTATCAGCCAAAGTCTCCTGATCATTTGCCCCTGACCTGTAATAGTCATATATAGACTTTTGAAGTACTGATTTAGCATGTTGTTCATAATCACTGATGCACAGTAGCCGGGTGAACATGTTCATGGGTTACTGCAATCTCAGATTGTTTGTATTTTCTTCCTGTGTTGCCTTCTACATCTTGACAATTCTGTTATTCGTCAATTATTAATAGACTTATTCCAAAGTCTAGATTTAGTTCTCTGGTGATTGATGACATTAGGTGAACAAACATATGTTTAGATTTTGAAATTTCATTTGTAGCTATCTGCCAAAGAAAAGCAACACCTAAGCCACGAGAATTTGGGTTGAGGAGGCAACAATGCCACATTAAAAAGGCAGAAGAATGAGAACTACTTGCATAAAACCACTCTTGGCTCAGCTCTGCCTAAAACCGCTTCTTCCACACCGTATGGGTCTGTGCTCTTGAATTGGTACACAAAACAGGTTGCGAATCATTTTCCTTCCACATTTAGATCATGCACATACATGCGAAAAAGAGCTTATGAAATGAGTGGGGCAGGCAGCAAACAGAGTGTCTACACAATATGAATTTCAGCTGATTATAAATATTTTGGCTTTAAGAAGGAACGTTAAGGTCAAATGTACAGCTAATTCTTCAAGGGTCTTATCTAGCTCTGGAGAGGATATAAGGAGGTGCCATTCCCAAAGACCTTGTGGTTTCAATCTAAAATTTCATTTAATCATGGAACACGTGGAGAAATTAGCATTAGTAAGACATGATTCAGAAAGCAATGGCTTTGACACCTGTCAGATCCGGGTTTCAATCTAGGACCTTCCACTTAAAGCTGCTCACCACGTGTTCAGCAGCTGATGTCCAAATGCCTACACCTGTAGGAGGATTTTCTCTTGAACTAGGTACCTGCTTCTCCATGAGTATAATATGCTAACGTGGAAGCAAGGCTCCCTAGAACAGCCCTCAACCAAGGACTTAGGGAGCTGGTGCATAAATATCCCCAAACCCACACTCCTCTGGTGGGTGACTCCTTAAGTGCATGTTCTACTTTGCAGGCTTCACTGGGCCACAGTGTTAGTTGGTTTATAACCCACCCCATGTTGGCTGCCTTCCCTTTCAAGCTCACTTCCCTACCCCTTAATTTAATTTAAAAAACTTTTATGATACTAGGATTGGCATTGACTTATCCACAGTTTATTTCTAAAATGCAAAAATGCTTACTTTTGGCATCAGTGTGCTGATAGGTAAAAAGACATTAAACTTGCTATTGGAATGCAAAACTCTGTTAATATGATAAGGGAATCCTGTAAGATATAACTCAATTTTTCAGTTAAAAATCATTGTTCAATTTGATCTAAGGAATCTTAATTGTTGCTAAGAACTGAATCAAAATTTACATACTAAAACCATAATCATTTATTTACATATTCATTCATTTGCAACTTTAATAATTATTGTAACTGTTACCACCTTGCAGCTAATGTAATTTTGATGAAGAGGCAACTTAATATTCTAGAATGAACCTTAAACAGGCCAAATAAAACTAAGCAAAATAAGGGCCAGTGCTTCTTAAAGTGTGGCCCAGAGCAGCAGCATCAGTTTCATCTGGAAACTTGTTAGAAATGAATATGTCAGGCCCCAACCCAGTCGGGCTGAATCAGAAACTCTACAGCCCTGTGCAGTGTAACAAGCCTTCCAGGCGATTCTGATGTAGGATATTGTTTGAGAACCATTGCTTTGGCAAGATGGAAAGTAAAGGAGGATTTGCTTTTTAAAGAAGTTTGAATTAAGTAAATTAATTCTACTCTCGTTTTTTACTATTGCAGCCCAACAGTTGATACGGAGTACCATCTTAGCCAATACACTATTATATAGTCCCCACACTACATACTTAATCTCTTGGTAGAGAGAACTGAAAGAAGTGGTTGTGGTTTAGAACAGTTTTATTAATTCGTGATAATTACATCATTTAAACACCTCATAAGATGTTTATTCAAGACAGTACCTTCAGTAAAACTCCTCTCTAGGCCTCGGTGAAGTTGCAACCGCAGAATCAGCTCAAAATGGTCCTACGGTCCCGTCTGTTTAATGAGATTCTGGGCTGCTTTTCGGAGACGAGGGACCGAAACCGCAAGTCACGGAACTGAAGCATGCGCAGAACAGAAAACCCCGCCTTCCAGCCGCACCCGGAACCGAGATTTCCCCACCCCACTTCCGGAGCCAAAGGATGGGGACCAGACCTTGAACACCAGCCCCCTTTCGGAAAGAAAAGGTTCACTGTGCAGGAAGACTCTTATATCCTACCATCAATGGCAAGTTGCAAAGCTCTCCAGTCAAAACCTGGGCGTCCAGGGCTTCTGCAGTCAGCCTATCCCCCCTAACCCCTAACCCGCAATCTTTGCCTTTAAAAACCCTTGATTAAAAACCATCGGAGAGTTTGGGTTTTAAGTGATAGCTTCTTGTTCTCCTTGCTTGGTACCCTGCAAATAAAACAGCTTTAGTTTCTTCTTTTGCAAACCTCATTGTTGAGTGTTTGGCTTTGCTGTCCATCGGACAGCAACCCCTCGTTTGGTTCTGTTCAGTTAGTTCAGTGACAAAGCGAGGTCCTGAGGGCATAACATGAAAAAAGAAGCTCTGCTTTATTCAACCTGCTAAAGGCTGTGCGTGCCAGCTCTCCCCACCCCCACCTGCTAGTTTGGTAATCAGGATGGTATATGCCAATGTGATGGCAACTGTTGTATTGGAGCACTGTCCTTCATAGTGACAAAAAGGGGGGGGGGATTTTTTTTTTTACCCTAGTCTTAATAAAATCTTAATTCACTTCCAACCCTCCCTAAGATCCCAATAAAATGCCTCACCGTCTCCATAAACCTTGGAGTTTTTCCAAACCGTGGGAACTCTTCTCCCGCCTTCATCTCAAGGGAAACTTGAGATGCTAGAATGAAGCAACGAGAACCCCAAATACTCAACTGGATTGGATCTTCGCTCTCATTTGTTTTAAGATGTAATTTAGAATATCACTTGAAGCATGTCTTATTTCCTGTTTTTATCCTTTTCAGGGGCTCTTCATTTTCAATGAGGTGTGGGGCTGGTGGAAACAGTCATTTCTATTATTCCAAGCACTAGAAGGGAATGTTTATAGCATCACAAGCACCGATGTCTAGTGAAACACCAGGATATCCCAGACGACTCATGAGAATGCCTCTTACAAGGGTGAAAATTATTTCACTGTGGCTTTACTTTGCATTTCCCTGACTACTGGTTGTAACTGCAGAGCCAGCTGAAAATGGTCCTATCCTGTTTCTAACAAGATAGTTGCTTTTCAGAGACAACAGACCAAAAACGCAAGTCATGCGGCTGAAGCAGCGCAGAGGAGAGAATTTTGATCTCCAGTTGCACCCCGAACACATCTTGTCCCCCAAGCCCACCCCATCTAGCCGCCCTGAGGAACCAAAAGACAGAGACATAACCAGAAGCAAAGGAGCCATTGTTCAGGAAGATGTGGTGCTGAAGCCCCAGGCCATAAATGACCAAATTCCAAGATCCTCCAGTTAAAACTTGCCCCCTCAGCACTTTCACATACCTGTTCCCCCTAAAAACCTGCCATGAATCTTGAATTGGGGAGGCATATTTGGGCTTTCTCCCTCTCTCCTCATTTGACTGCCTCTTGAAATAAACTCTTCCCTTACTGCGTATTCAGTGTTTTAGCGATCAATCTTATAGAGTGTTGGGCATACGATCTTGCGGGTTTGATTACATAATAACTTTGATGACCTTTTAATATGTTTATTGGCCTCTTATTTTTCTTCTTTCTGAAATGCTTGCTGATGTCGTTGGCCATTTTTTATATTAGATTTTTGTTGATATTGATTGATAGAATTTCCTTATATACATTGGACACAGATCCTTATTCATGTATAAGGTAAATTTTTTCATATACAAATAATGCCAATGTCAGCCTCAAAGCTGCGTGATTAATAGCATGTGGTTAGTCAGTCTCCATTTTCTTTTTCTCTTCTTCCTTTCTCTCCCATCTTCTCTCTCTCCCACCCTCCCTTCCTTTCTTTCTCTTTGTTTTCATTTTTAACTTAATTTTCCTTGTCTTCTTCTCTTTCCTCCTCCTCTTCCTCCTCCTCATTCTCTTATTATTATTTCACTTCCCCCCCTCCACCCCACCCATTCCCTGTTTTGATTAAAGCCAAGTCCTAGACAGGCAAGTTGCCTCTAGCTAGATGGATTTTTGCTTTTGGGTTCCCCTGTCTTGTCCTTTGAAGTCATAGCTTTATGCTGGGATGAAAGGATGTGCAATTGTCACAAAGTTCTGGAAAGGTCCCCTTTTTCATGCCGTGCAACAAGGCAGGACTTTACAAACAGTGTTCTGGGGGTGTTCTGAAGATAGAGATGATGGGCCAAGGAGTTTACTTGAGCTTCTCTACTATCCTGAATTAACATCCTTTTGAGTATTCACCTTGAAAGTGATTTGTCTACTGTTTCCCTGACGTCCAGGAGGCTCTTAAAATAGGGCTCCAATACAGGGTTTGGCACATGCCCTCGGGGGAAAAGTAGCTTTGGGACTCTCCTTACTCTTCTGCTCTCTGGCTCTCACCTGATATTTGATCTGTTTATTTCTTATTGTTTTATAAATACTTTGATGCCTTTAGAAATATGTGTGTTATATTTAAAATAATATAAGTTGT